GGTTTAATAACAGACTACATTTTACCACGACCAAATGATTGTATTCCTATATTATAAACATTATATTTTTGATATAAATACGGCTGAGGGGGAGGGTTATAACACCCAAAACCCCCCCCTGGCTACGCCACTGTTGTCATACATATTATGCTTATTACATTTGTATAGTAAATGTTTATGAAAAGGTTATGTCAAGAAATGATTTGTAATTACTTTTTATAGTTATGAAGGAACTGGTCGATCATTGTCATTAAAATTATTACAACAGCTCCGCTCTCAAGCTACACCTATTGGTAATAATGCAAATGATAAAACCGGGCAAAATGCTATCACTGGACGGTTTTTAAAAGAAGTTAGTAGTATAAGTTATAAAGTTATAAAAATATTAATGTTTATAAAAATATATTTTTTTTAAATTTAATTTTATCATGTAATAAAATTCCTAGTGATAGTGGAATGACGAGAAGGCATTACATTAATGTAGGCTTGTACTTATTTGCTATACTCTGACTGGTAAGAAACGACTATTCCTTCTTGCATCTAAATAAATTAGCTCTGTCAAATGAGTAAGTGTAATAATTTCTCCCACTCTATCACATACTTGCCGCTTAAAATTTCCTCATTCATGGTTATATAGTAAAGAGAATGCCCAAGAATGAATGAGTTGGTTGCTGCCATGTAGCATTCTCGCACTGGGCAGAGTATAGTGCTAATGTGCGTGCTATTAACTAATAAATTGTACAGTCATTACCAGATAAATTGGTCCAGGGCGGCACTTTTCTTTAATTGTATCCCAAACCAGTTGTGGTGTGTTTTGACTGCGCAGCTTGGCACACCAAGTTCTTTATCGTAAATCTTTAAAAATAAATGACTGATTGATAATGATAATATTAATAAACCTAATTTTTGGCTAAATATTTGTTTTTAAATTAATAATTTAAAATCAGTTTTATTTAGTTATGATATATTTGGTGATAACATCCTAATATGGAGGACGTCTAGTTTTTTGTTAACACGCTGCTGCCGTCTTGCCAATTTATYTATCAACGA